CAGAGAGAGAGAGAGAGAGAGAGAGAGAGAGAGAGAAAGAAAGAGAGAGAGAGACTGACAGATAGACAGACAGCAGACACACAGACAGACAAACAGATAGACAGACAGACAAACAGACAGACAGACAGGCAGACAGACAAATAGACAGACAGATAGACAGACATAGAGGGACAGAAACCTGAGTATTAGTTCCAAAGTGAAGAACACAGTACATATGATGTCCAACGTATTCAAGGCCTCGTGGGACGTCATCACCTGATAAGCAAAGACAAAAAAAGGCAATGAGCATATCTGTCACGACATGGTAGAATCAGGCGCTCGTCAGTTTTGTGGCATCTGTAGTTATTGGTACCACCATCTTAAAGCTTGTTCATAAAATCATCTTTTGATGAAAAATATACACGCCTATCTTGAATAGACGTCGAGGTATTTACGTTTGAAGGAGGTTCGGGTTGCCTGTTTTCAAATGTAAAATTAGCGAGAAAATGGCGGCCAAAGATGGTTGATTTCAAAGCTTGAGAGACCTTAAAAACTGAACATCTACATTTGTTCTGACTTAAATTAATTTTCTTCAATAAAATCCGCAAAGAAATATGTTTTCAAATGGACATAAAAGATGCTGAGCCAAAAAAAAGTAAAAAATTAGAAGAAAACAAATGTCAAACTGGGGGGAAATGCCGATATCTTCGATTTCATTATTTTGACGAGCGCCTGATTTCACCCGGATGCCTCACATATCGAACTGTGAGTATATAATGTTTATTGCTCTTAACTGGCGTATATCTCCCTACTAGACACACCATAGCTCATTCCAAAGATAATGGCACCAAGAACACTGGGCTAAAAAATATAATACACAATTATCTATAGGTTTAACACCCCTTTCAGCACTACAAGTTTAACAAGCACAGCCTTCGACTTTTACGTTCGTCTGTGATAGGACCGAGCCAAAAGTCCCCCAACACAACCAAAGTTCATATCATCCCATTGGGGAGATTCGAATCAGGTCCGTCTGCTTTGTAGTCTAGCATGGTACCTACCGAGCTGATAGTGGGCCAACTGGGCGGAGAGGAAATGCATTTTAGAAAGGTCAATGATAAACAGTTGGGAAATCCCACCATAATGGTGCCAAAATAAATGACTTATTAATAGTACTGTTTAGTTTGTCTCATACCCAACGACGATGGCGTCATTCGATAGAAGTGCTTGGGAAAAAATTCAAACGTTTGAATACCTTGGAGAATGGCCAGGAGAAAGCTTAGAATGCTGAAGAAAAACCCAAATGCCAAGTTGTCTACAAGCTCACTAATTAAATCGTCTGATCTTACTCCTAATCCAGCCTTTCGCAACCAGGAATACACACTGTTAATAGAACAAAGCTCAATGTTGACCAACATCAATGGATACTAGCGTTGTGCTTGAAGAACAGAACACTGTGCTGACTATACCTAAAGCTCTATCAGGTAGGGACTTGTAGAAGAAGGGCGAACAGTTAGCTCAGTTGTTACAATAATAAATAATAGATAATAAACAGCATTTGCATAGCTCATGTCCCCACTCGAAAGCAAACTCTATGCGCTTTATACTATATTATTACCCCAGCAGACCATAGAACACTCAGAAACATTCTCAGTTTCTCGGGAAGCATACAGTGCAAGCAGCTGGTTAAGCGCTCAAACACTATCAAACTGACACGATCTTTCACTGTCTATGGCTGGTAGCCATTTTCACCTAGGTGAAGTGGGGAAAATTTGTGTAAAGTGCCTTTCCCAAGGACACAACGTCGGGCCCATGGCTCGAACCCCAGAACCCGCAACCTCACGCAAGTCCCGTAGCCTAACCACTAGGCCACCGACCTTATCTTGCTGAACTGTAAAGCCGGCCACATTGGCCCATACCCCAAAATGAGGCACACACGAGCTAAGGAAGACTGATGATTTTTTGGCTCTCCATCCATTTGACTCTGCGCTATCAGAGAAAGAGGAAAGGAGTTAATACTGTACCAGTGGGTTGTAATTATAATTGTAACGTTCTGCGCCCTCATATTTTCATATTTCCAATGTAAATCATGTAATTAAAAAGCGGGCTGCTTCGTCCATGCCTGTCAGGGCTAGCCCGTGTTGAGACTAATATAATTTCACTGCAGACATGAGCAGAAACTTGAAAAACAACAACAAACAAACTCTCCCTATATGAAAACCGAACAAATTTCTTCTGCGTGCAAAGGTGCAACGCCTGGTAACCTCGCACCACTGACGCCGGTAAGGGAAATGTATCCATATCAATATCAGAATGAATGTGCTGATAAGCTAGCCGGCCAGGCTGAGATTGGCGGCAACATGCAATTAGATCTACCAACAGTCAAGGCAGCATTGACAGTATGGTTCAACGACCACAGAGAGGATGAAGGCACCACTTCACACACAATGGATAGACTAAGGAAAGCTGGTGTCTCTAGAGGGTCGGGGAGAGACCACGACCTGCGTGGAATGGCCAGAAGAATATCCAACCAGCTGTTAACTGGCACGATCAGCAGGCAGACCCTTTCATGGATCCTGGAGAGGAGGGAGGAGCAGCTATGGCATTGTGCCGTCTGCAATGACGCCTGTTCTTCAACCAATTAAGTAAGTAACCAGAATGAAACAACGCAGAATAGAAAAGAACGAGATCACATACCCGGCCCAGTTCCCTGGAATGGCCTCCTTCGCACTCAGTTGTCACGTTCAAGAACTTGGGTCTTAGCTCTGGGAGAGTCTCCAGGCAAAAGCCTGCTATTGAGGTGACGACAAACAAGAACGACGTAACACCGTATATCTGAAACAAAATGTGACAAAGTGTAAGTATGGCAATAAATGAATAGTGAAGATACCTGGACACATGGTCATGGATGTAAACAACTATTGTTAAAAGCATTGAATTTCGCTGTCGTTATCTTGTTTATTTGTTTGAGTAAAGAGAAGTATATCGACACAATAATGGTCATCAGTGCTGGGAAAATGTCAGACAGACAGACAGAAACAACAGACTTGAAAGTATAAAGAGGTAGGACCTACCAGTGGCGCCCTCCACCACCCATTGTTATTATCTTAAATGAACATAAACGACAATGATTGAAAAGTGGAGTATACTGAAATAGTGATCAAAATCTTAGGAGACAGCTGGGAATATCGTGGAAGGAAAAGAAATCAAATGAGGTAGTACTTGATGAAGCCCCAGTGGGACGCTCAATGTTAAAAACAATCAGGAAAAGACAAGAGCAGTTTTTGGGACACCTGCATAGACTTAAAGGTCTTGAACATCTTGCTCTCACTGGCGAAATTGAAGGCAAACGAGGCAAGGGTAGGCCCAGAGCAATCTACTAAGAGAACCTAAACAGATGGGTAACAGGGAAAGATCAGGGTAACGTAGCTTTTTTAAGAGCTTCCGAGCAAAGGAATGAATGGAGAACCAAGATCGCCGATGTCTGCCGCAGATCTGGAACTTGATGATGATGATGATGATGATGATGATGATGATGATGATGATGATGATGATG